CCCCACGCGGCCACACTCCCGCCATCCCACCCGCCCCCCAGCACTGCCAGCGTTGACGAGAGCGGTAGCGGTGCTGCTCATCAGGTGCCTGCCAGTGACGGCGGCCAAGATAGGAGAACGGGGCGGTTCAGACTCCCCACCACAAGCCTCAGACGATTCCTCAGGCAAGCAAGGGCATGGCAGCCACAGCCACAGACAGCCACACGCAACGCTTCTTTGGGCGTATCACATCACACTCATTGTGTGTGTGTGTGTGTGTGTGTGTGTGGCCATTCAGGAGTGGCTCGGTGTCTACTGACGTTGGCCGTCCTGCGATGCGTTCGCAGCCCCTGCCCGTGCCGTCGGCCACACTGCCGGTCGATCGGTGTTGACGGAAAGCATTAATGCTGCACCGCTGCATTAGTCATCTGTCGCCCTGACTGACTCTGTCGGCTAGAGAGAGGGAGGGAGAGACGGTATGCGTGCATGTCGATGTAATGTATTGAGATGGCCCGATCTCCGTGTCAAAACCAAAATAACGCCACGACTTGTGCTTGCGTGTAGCCGTCACAGGGACCGTGGAGGACCGTGGAGCAAATTGCGAGCTCGTGATTACGATTTGTTCAGCTCGCGATGCACACTCGGCTGAGAGAGATGAGAGTCCTTTGAACAAAGCGTGCCCATCACCTTCTGTCTTTGCATAGCTGTCCCCCATCCTCTCCGTTTCTGTCCAATTGATCTTCCGACTCCCGCCCACGAGCAGAACGGACGGACTCATGGGGAATCAGCAGAGTGACGGCCACGCCCACCCGGTGACGCACAGCTGCGTGCAGGGGCTGCAGCTCAACGAAACTCCCGTAACCACACACACACACACACACACACGATGATCTGCCTCTCACATAGATCCGATGTGTGTGTGTGTGTGTGTGTTTGTTGGTTCAGCCTCTCGTCCCTCCAGCAAGATCAGCAGAGTAGGCTGGCTGCGTCGAGATCACCAACCATTGCGACACACAGACAGCCCTGATCTCTCTCCCTTGTTGTTTTTCGTGTGTCAGTGACCCTCGACTGGCTCGCGAGACGGTGCAGCTGGCACGGCCAGAGGGCGAGGCTGCCTCTGCCGCAGACGGGGGACACCCACGCGAGCATAAAGACCAGCAAGGAGAGGGAGAGGGGAAGGGCGGCGACGGTGCCCACTCTGAGCCTCCCGACGACGGGTCTCCCAGTGACAGTGCTGCTGTGGCTGTTGCCGCTGCTGAGGGTGGTGGCACCATCAATGAGGTCCGCGAGGTACAGCGGAAGCGATACGAACAATTCAAACGGTCAGTGAGCAGTGACTGACCAGAGAGAGATCGACCCTTGTGTTGTGTCTGCTCTGTGTGCCATTCATGAGTGCCATGTCATGTGTGTGTGAGTCAGGTCTCAGCGTGGGTCAGCAGCAGCGTCCGGAAGTGCGTCCGCGAGCAGCACGGGCGACCCTCCTCCGTGCTACCCCACCACCTACCCCCCGCCCCTCAACAGCCTGCCGCCCAAGCCGGTGCCGGCCGTGCTGCGGCAGCCAGAGGCAAACCTGCGGGAACTCGACACCCTGTGGATCAGGCCTTACAAGTACGGAAGGAATCGACAGAGAGAGAGAGAGAGAGATGGCTGGGTGGATGTGTGTGTTGTGATGGTGTTTGTTCAGGACATCTGAGATCGATGCGCTGTTTGAGGACAACCAGCACGACCAGGAGGTCAGTGGGTGAAGCGAAGGGGAGGAGCTGATGGGATGGAAGACGGCGTGGCGTGATGTGTCGCGTCGCGTGTCGCGTGTCTTTGTGTGTGCAGCGTGTGCAGCAGTACCTTTGGGACACCTACGTCAAGTCCTTCTTCAGCGAGCAACTCAGATACGTTGAAAGCGGTCAGTACACAGCACACTGCTCAGTGCGTGAGCAGACAGATTCCCACGTGTGTGTGTGTGTGTGTAGGTCAAAACCTGGAGATGTGTCCGGCGGGTGTCGAGGAGTTCCCCTGCACCTTCAGGATCACATGCTGCTCACCGTGGGACGGTAGGGAAACAAACCATGTCATGCCGGACACAGCACAGCAGCCACACGTTGGTGTGCCGGTGCCGGTGTGGCACACGCTGCAGGGGTGGTGACTGCCTCAACGGTCTTCCATCTCATTGGGTGGGGGGGGGGGGGGGGGGG